GTGCTAGGGCTGTGAGGTTACAAGTACCATAATCATTCCCATTTTATAGATGCAGAAAATGAGGCTAAGTTTCAAGTGATTTGCCTATAAGCACAGAGCTAGTAAGTGGGATCCCAATCTAGTTCTGCCTGATTCCAAGTCCATGGCTCTATCCACTAAGCCATCTTTACATTGAATCAGCAGTCCCAGAGGACTTGAGTTTGAATCCAAAGTCTGCCACTGAGACTTTGTGACTTATCGACATAGCCACAATAATAAAATGGCAATAGCTACCATTTTAATAGCACTTTAAAGTTTACAAAGAACAGGTAGGAGTACCCAGCCTGGAGTTAGGAAGACTCATTTTCTTGAGTTAAAATCTGTCCTCAGACACTTACTTAGCTGTGTTATCCTGAGCAAGTCACCGGTTGCCTCAGTTTCCTCATCTGTAAAATAAGCTGGAGAAGGAGATGGCAAACCACTCCAGTATCTCTGCTAAGAAAACTCTAAATGGGGTCATGAAGAGTCAGACATGACTGAAAAACAAATAAACAACCTTACAAATGATCATCTTATTTGATCCTCATAACAACTCTGGGAGGTAGCTGCTATTTTCCCCATTTTACTGATGAAGAAAATAAAGCAGCCAGAGATTGAGTGCCCTGGGTATGTGACCCCTTCCTCCCAAATTATCAATAATCACCAAATTTTAAAATTTGATGACTCTTCCTCACTCATCTTTCTTGAACTTTCTTCACCATTACACCTCCTCCTGGATACTCTCTCCTCCATGGGTTGTTTTTCATTTGTTCTGTTCTGTTTGTTGTTTGTTTTGTTTTTTAGCAATGGCTTTCTCCTGTTTGGGGTCTGTGGCCACCTTTGACCTCAGGTCTTCCTGACTCTAAGTACAGTGCTCTCTCCACTAATACCACCTAGATGCCATCTAGACGTGGAAGGAGCATAAGAGGAAAAAGTCACTCATCCTCTTTGACCAAGTAGCCTTATCTGAAAAAAAGAGGAGGTTAGACTAAATGAGTTAACATACACAAAGGCACCTTGCAAACCTTTTGCTGTTGTTCAGTCATATCTGACTCTTGATGACCCCATTTGGGATTTTCTTGGCAGAGATACTGGAGTGGTTTGCCATTTTCCTCTCTCCAGCTCATTTTACAGATGAGGAAACTGAGGCAAACAGAGTGAAGTGACTTCCCCAGGGTCACACAGCTAGGAAGTATCTAAGGTGGGATTTGAATTCAGGTCTTCCTAACTCCAGCCCAGTGCTCTATCCTGGGGCACCCAGCTGCCCTTAAAATCTTAAAGCTGTATGAACAGGTTAAAAATGACTGGACAATGGGCATCTCTATGATTCTCTTAGGTGTAGACGACTCCAGGCTGGGGTTCAGTGATTAGGGAAGTTTACAAAGTTGTAGAGATGAAAATACAGACACTTAAGACGAAGGTCTCTTGAATCCAATCCACAGCTGGGATCCTCAGGAAGGTGACAGAGGTTCAGCAAGTCCACAGGCCCACATCTGCTGGCCTAGGCATCAGAGTGAATCATGCTTTAAAATCGCTGAACAAATTGTGTGCAAGTGAGGGGTAAGAGCAAGCCTAGAAATTCGAGTAGCCTAATTTACGTAACACTGTTCAGTCATGACTGTTACACACCTTATCTCATTAGATCTTTCCATATCCAGTGAGGTATGCCTTTCAAATATTATTCTCATTTTACAGACGATGAAATTGAGGCCCAGAAAGTATCTGAGACCAGGCTGAGGTCACATAGAGAGTAAAACGGCAGAACCTGAAACTGTTATGAAGGCCAGGTCATCCAACCCTTATTTACACAAGAATCCTATCAATACCCTTGACAAGGAGTCACCCAGATGCTTCCACTCTCACCTCTTTTGTTCTATCATGATGCTTCTCCTAATACAGTTTAAGTTAACATTAGCTTTTTAGCTGCCATCACATCATGTCAAGGTTCAATGCTTGCAGTTTGTTAAATAAAAGTCTACCTTTTTTTCCCATAGGAACTGCTATTTAGCCATGATTCCTTCATCTTATAGTATAAATTTGATTTTTGAACCCAAGTATATCACTTGACATTTATTTCTACCAATTTCCATCTTAATCAATTTCACCCAGCATTCTAGCTTGTCAATCTTTAGTGATCTTGACTTTGACCACCTCACTAAGTATTTTTTCCAGTTTTGCATGACATGCAAATTTGATAAGTATATCATCTATGTCTTCAGAAAAGCCACTCAGAAAAGCACCCAATAGCCCAGGGCAAAACCAGTTCCACAGGGCACTCAACTGGAGAGCTCCTTCCAAAAGATGACAAGAAGCAGTTTTTGGGTCTGGTCATTTGGCCAATTCAAAATCCCCCTGACCACATTTTTATCTAGCCCCTATCTTTGAATTTTGTCCAAAGAAAAGCATGAGACTTGGTGAAAATGCTTTGTTAAAACATAGGTAAACTGCATCTATAGCTTTCTCCCAAGGCTAGTGATGTTTCCAAAAAAAGAACTAGTTGGACAGCCATGATCTGTTCTTCACTAAGCCAACAGGGCCTCCCTTTCTAGATACTCGGAAATCATCCCTTTAGTAATCACACTCCAGAACTTTGTCCTACATACTGAAGTTTAGCTTGTCACTAGAGACTTTGCAGGCTCTGCTTTCTTCCCCTTTTGAAAATTAGGGTAATTGTTCTTCTCTAGCCTTGTAGCATCTCTCTCCTTCTTCCAGTTGTTTCAAAGATTTTTGACACTGAGTCTGCAGCCACACCTCTCAACTTTTCACTGTCTCCAGCCGCAACTCACCTACCCCAGAGAACTTGTACTCAGGGCAACTGGGTGCTATCTTTCCATTCCCTTATGTATTTTGGTTATGTCCAGGGCTCCTGATGCCTCTCTGTATAATCCTTGCTGTCCTCAGCAAGTCTCTCCATCTTTCAGAATCTACAACGAGTATCTTTTCTAGGGAAAGCAGCTGGCAGAGGAGGGCAGAAAGAGGGGAGCAGGCTCAGAAAGGAGTTTGGAACTCCAGAAATTTATATAAGAAAGTTCTAAAAGTTTTCACCCTGAAACAGGTAATACTGATACATACATACATACATACATACATACATACATACATACATACGTACGTATGTATGTATGTATAACTATGATCCAGAAATGGTTCTGGCTTGGGAACATAGGTGTTTTTAATGGACTTGAAGACATTGAACTACACTGTGTTGAGAAAGAAAACTTAATAAATTTTTTTTAATAGAAGAGTTTAAAATCAACCTCTAGAGCTAAACACATCACATTCCTGCCACTGTAGCTATTACACATCAAATTTGTACCAAGTCCTCTGTAAGAGGGTTACAAATTACATCAGCAAGGAGCACAAAGTTAGTAGATTCCTTTTTAGCTTGAAAAATGACTTTTTGGTAGCTTCTATTTAAGCTATTCCTCCCCTTCCCCCTCCCCTTTTCTTTTTCTTTGTTCACTTATAATCTATCCCACACAATTACATAATCTGTGCCATGTACTCAGAGCCCTTCCTACCCAATCTATTCCCATTCAGATATGCACATTTCCCATGCAGTAGTTTAGCACAAACAAACTTTTAAGATGCGACGACAGGGGCTTCCGCAGGGCTGGAGCTGCTTTAGTCAGTATTTACAAGGTCCTTTCAACTGTTGCCTTTGTGGTAAACGGTCTACATCTCCTCTTCTCCTTGGTTCCCTGACTTCTATCCCACACTTTCCTCATTGAGAAATGTACTTTCATTTGGATACTACCACCACCACCACCATCATCATCACTACCACTAACCCCACCTCCACTGAATCCAGTACATGTGCAGGAAAAAGAAGAAGGGCTGGGAACCAATGGAACCAGTAGGCAGTTGATGTAGCAGAGAGAGCCCTAGATTTGGGAAAACCTGAGTTCAAATCCTGACTCTGTTATTTATTACCCAAATGACCTTGAGCAAATTACCAAACCTCCCTAGTTGACAATTTCGTATATAAAATGATGGGATTGGATTGTTTGGTTATTTCAGTTGCCTGACTCTTTATGACCCCATTTGGGGTTTTCTTGGCAAAGATACTTGAGTGGTTTGCCATTTCCTTCTCCAGCTCATTTTACAGATGAGACACTAAGGCAAACAGGACTAAGTGACTCACCCAGGGTCACACAGCTAGTAAGTGTCTGAGGCTGGATTTGAACTCATGAAGATGAGTCTTCCTGACTCCAGACCTGGCACTAGCCACTGCATCATCTAGCTACTCTGGGTTTGGGCTAGATGGCCTCTGCAGTCTTTTCAAGATCTTTATCTATTATCATCTCATGATCTTGTCTCAGTTAATCTGAGAAAGTGAAAAAAAAATTTAAAGGTATAATCAAATAAAGAATAGGGTTTTTTTTAAAAAAGAAGCTAATGAGCATGAAACTATAATCTCATCATTGTAGGTATCCCCTTCCCTCATCCAGGCTGCAAAGCGGCCCCATCTTCACATTCTGCACAGTTTTCATCTGTATCTTTCTGTATTTGAGGAAGCACAGTGGATAGAGGGCCAAGAGCACCAGTCTCTGCTACAGGAAGTCCTGAGTTTAAGTCTCTCATCTCTGACACATACTGGCTGTGTGACTATAGACGAGGCACTTAACTTCTTGGTGGTGTCCCTGGGCCACTAAGACAACAACCAGCAGAGCAGTGCCAACCTGCATTAGCAGAATGAGATTCTTTCTTTGGAGTTCCTATGCCAATAAAATCACAAGTCCAGTTTAAAAAACAAATCTTCCTTTAAGTCTCACATAGAGGATCTAGCCAGGGCATTAGAGGCCTTTCTCTGGTTCTTTTAATGTTTGGTAAATAGCAGCACAGTGTTCAAATTGTCTGTCTGGTCTCCTTATTCTTTCCATGTGACCACAGCCTCCAGCTTAGCATAGACAGAGGGCCTCTCCAACAAATAAAAATCCCCAAAGTCAAAAGGAAAGCAATTGGATGATATTGACACTTACCCCTCCTCAGAATGATGGAAAGCAGATGAACCTGGGGGATCTCTGTGGCTCCCCGACACTGCTCCACTGTTCTCATTGTCACTCAAATATCCTTTTCCCAGCGATTTCTTATTACAAGCAAAGGCTGCAGGGTCTGCTTCATACCCATTCAGCGTTCCACGACCAGCTCTACTCTCTGAACTCTCCTGCTGATATCCATCATATCTATCCCCATGGGGTGCTGGAGGATTGCGAGATAATTTGTATCCATGTGAAATTAGGAGATCCTCCACACTGTACATGGTGCACTGGTGTCTGTCAAAGCTCAGCCATTGGAAACCTCTCTCGGGCAGGATCCGTCACTGAGAGGAAAAATAAAAAAGCTCCGTTTGCAAGGAGTCTTCCTTCCCACGTGAAATGCTGAGTTGAATCTGACCCCATGGCATCCTTCTACTTATTCCAATTGAAAACCATGCCATAGACTAAGCAATAGAACATAATATGGGTGCAAAGGACGAACTATATGTTGGTCTACTCAAGACTACTTCCAACTGTGTTCAGCCAAGGAGGACGGATATATCATAGGTGCTGATTTACCAACTGCACCGGATAATTCTTCAACAATCATAGTTATAATAGCTGCCCAATAAGCATTTATTAAGCCCCTCCTGGGTACTAGGCATGGGAATACCAGGACAAGATGAAACTCTCTTGCTCTCAACGGTTTTACAGCCAATGGCACGAAACAACATGTTGACAGAAAATTACATACAAAATATAGACCAAGTGAATACAAAGTAATTTCTGGGGAGGCGAGTACTAGCAACTAAGGAGGGGATGATAGATAAGTTTCCTGTCAGAGGTGGCATGTGAGAAGAGTTTTGAAGGAAACTAGGGATTCCAGGATGCAGAAGTGAGGAGAGAGAGCATTCCAGTCAGAGGAGATGGCCTGTGCAAAAATGTTTTTGCATAATACCAGAAATCGGATGTCCTATACAAGGAACATAAAATAGTCCAGTTTGGCTGGGATGTAGAGTGTCAGGAGAGTTATGTCCAATAAGCCTGGAAAGAGAACCTAGAAGTGCATTATAAAGTGTTTTAAATGCCAAACAGAGGAGTTTGCATTTTATCCTAAAGGCAATCAGAAGCTACTAAAGATTTGGTTGTTAGCCTTCATTCTTGAAGAGGACCAAAATGTCATCATTATGTTAGAGTCAAGTTACCATGTGCCAACTGTGACTAAAGAGTTATGAAGAGGGGAATGACAAGCTCAGATCTGTGCTTTGGGTATATTAATTTGGCAGTGATGTAAAGAGGCAGGAAGACTGATTAGGAGATCACTTCAATAATCCAGGTATGCAGTGATGAAAGCCTAAACTGGGATGATGCTTGTAAGTAGAGAGAGAAAGAATGATTGGAATAACCTATAAAACTGTAGACCTTGGAATTAAGCATGTAGGACACAAGGGCTCTTGGGAGTCTGGGAGGAGGCCAGTCTTAAATATATCTAAGAAATAAGATGGTTAACAAACAGGTAGGGCTAAATCCTCATCCCACTACTCCATGGCCTACCCACCTAATAAACAGTCATAAGGAATAAGGACAAAATAAAGGCTGAGTTTAAAGCTTAAATTACAGCTTTTTAGTTTCTAAAATGGGAAACTGCCAATGTCCTGTTTAATCTCATCATAGCCCATTGCTTTCATCAGATACCTTTTGCCCTAGGAGTGCCAAGTGAGATCTTTAATCAAGTAGGCATGATTGTCTCCTCTTTAGTATATATCTAAACTCTGACTGCAAGGGATCCCACCACACGGCAGTTAACTGGCATCTGAAAATAGCTTCTCAGCCTTAAGGCTTATAATAAGGAAAACACAGCAAACAATCCACACTCAGAAATATACTGCTTCCCCAAACTATTAGACAATCTGAGCCTTCTCCTTTCCACTGGGAGACTCCTAAGAATCAAATTTCTTCTCAGTGGATCAGGGGGAATTGTAGTGCATCTTAAAAGCAAAATCTTGATCTATGCCCCAAAGGTGAGTTGTTTTGTCAGTATACAAATAACAGTAGCTTCTACAGCAAATTTCCTGGAGGCAAGACATACCATATGAAAGAAGGGAGGCAGGAGGGAATGCAGGGAAAGAGAAAAGAAGGAAGGAGAGGGAGAAAGACAAAGAGACAAAGAAAGAGAGAAAGGGAAAATAGGAAAGAAAGGGAAAGAAAGAAGGAAGGCAGGAAAAGAGAATAAAAGAAAGAAGGAAAGAAGGAAGAGAAAGAAAGGAAGAAAGAAAGAAAAGGAAAAAGAGAAAGGAAGGAAGGAAAGAAGAGAAAGGAAGGAAGGAAAGAAGAGAAAGGAAGGAAGAAAGAAAGAAAGAAAGAAAGAAAGAAAGAAAGAAAGAAAGAAAGAAAGAAAGAAAGAAAGAAAGAAAGAAAGAAAGAAAGAAAGAAAGAAAAAGGAAGGAAGGAAGGAAAGAAGGAAGGAAGGAAGGAAGGAAGGAAGGAAGGAAGGAAGGAAGGAAGGAAGGAAAAGGGAAGGAAAGAAAGAAAAAAGAAAGAAAGGAAAGAAGAAAGAAAGAAACTCTCAGAAACTACAACATGGGAAGTCAGGTGAGGTTGTCATAAACCTTCTTATTTAAGTAAAAGGCAGACAGACTGAGATTAATTGCAGTTCCCAATCTTGGTCCTAAAGAACAGATGACGAAATATTATATCCATCTCAATGCAGACATGAGGATCTTTGGGTCTCAAATATTGCATATTGTGTCAAACAGTAATTTTGTCAAAAGGGAGAGCTTAATGGGTGTGGAGGTTGCATATCAGGAAATGACATATAAAAAACAAAACAAAACTTTTTTTAAATAAAATTTCTTGATTAAACCCAAAGGCTTTAAAAAAATTTTTTTAAGTCTCCCATTTACGCCAGGGTACAGATGAAGTGGGTCAGCTTGGCTGGGCTAACAGACACCACAATCTACTCCTGCCTCCGTAGGAGTCACATCTGGGCCCGGGGAGTGGCGCATCGAGCTGGCCCTTAGACACACTTTGCTGAGGGATGGAAATAGATTCCACTGCAGGCATCATAAACAATAGTCAGGAAATGCCGCTGGACAGCTTGCAGGTGAAAGGAAGACATGTGTGCTTCCTGCTAACAGCAGTTTTTGTTCACTTCCAGCTCCCAGTTCTGCTGACACTAACAGGATCCCTGCTTTCAAGTACTAAAGTACAGTAGCAAGAACACCAGAAGTCAACTGTGTCTCACCAGACTTTAAGACAGAGTCTGTATTTTCATCCAGCTCAAAGTCCAATGTTTCCCATTAATTCACTGTTATCCATATGGGGCAACTGACAAGAAGGGAGCAATCTTTCACTCTTAGGTCCTAAGTGGCCAAATATTCCACCGAAGATTGCCCTGGGTGGACAGACCCAGGCACATTTCAATGCCACTGAAATCATTTCAGGGACAAGCTGCTAGGAAAGGAAAAAGTGTCTCTCAATACGAGGAACCAGAAAGCCCTTTGGGGATGAAGTTGGGACAAATTTCCTTTAAGAGTCCTGAAATGAAGGCTAAAGAGTTTTGATGAAGGTCAGTAAGCAGCTAAGTTGCACAAAAAGATGACACCACAGCCAAATGCTCCTGCCAAAAGCCCACGTCCGTAACCATTTGGAACTATGTGAGAAAAGTCAATAAGCCATTTATACCCTCTGTGATCAAAGGCAAGGAAAATCACATTTTCATAGAAAACAGCACTTTCCGTGATAGTAAAGAACTGGAAATTAAGTGGGTGCCCACTAATTTTAAAAAGGCTGAACAAATTATAGTATGGTAAATTCAATTAATATTTATTTAAATTTTAAATATTACCATGCAAGATCAGGATAGGGAATGCACTTGTGGTATCATCAGTGAAGGGGAACTCCCAGATGAGGAAACGGGAGCTCAATTTATAATCTTAAAGAGCTGCTCATCACACCAAGATGGTGACTTACCCAAGGTCCCACTGGCAGTCTGTGTCAGTGGACAGGAACATGAGGAATTTATAGAAAGATGGAAAGACTTGTATAAAGTAATGTTCAGCAATATACACAATCACTACAATAATTAACCCCCCCAAAAAAAAACACTAAAAAAGCAGAACTCTGAGGGCAGCTAGGTGGTGCAGAGGATAGAGCACTGGCCCTGTAGTCAGGAAAACCTGAGTTCAAATCCAGCCTCAGACTCATAACACTTACTAGCTGTGTGACCCTGGGCAAGTCACTTAACCCCAATTGCCTCACACACACACAAAAAGCAGAACTCTGAATAACTATAATCACTAATCTCGATCCTACATAATTGATGATAAAACATGTCCACTTCCTTTCAGTGAAGAAGTGGGGGGGTGGGATTGGATAGAAAATATGATGCAGTAGATATGTCTATAACTGCTGCTAAATTGTTTTTCTTTGTTACAAGGAAAGGTTAACTGGGTAAGGGTCTTGAGTACAAACTAATGGCAAAAATAATTTTTAAAAAACAAGGACTAGTTGGTCACACAATGAATAATTTAAAAATAATATTTTTTTCCTCTTTAAGGAAAACCACATGAAAGCAGCATTGCCATAGAAGTTGAAGGGAGAGCGAGGCAGTGAGAAATCTGCTGAAGTTTGAAAGGAAGATGAACAGCATCTGAATTGAGGAAATGGGAAGGATGGGGTGATGTGAAGAAATGGCAAAATTCTGTTGTGAACTAGACACAGAAAGTTTTAAAAAAAAAGCTCAGACAAGACGACACTTGGTGGTCATGCTATGACGAAAAAATGGGATAAGGAATTTACATCCAGCTTTAGCTGAGTACCAGATCCCCCCAAAATAATACTGGTTTACATTTATATGGATTACAGTTTACCAAAACAAAACAAAACAAAACAAAAAACCCTTCCATTTTTGTTAATCCTCATTTGATACTCACAATAACCTCATGAGGTAGGTAGGACAAGTATTACCCCATTTTACAAATGAAGAAACCAAGGCACAAAAAATTTAATTGATTCCCCAAATAATAGCTAGTCATGACAGAACCAGAACTAGAAGCAGAAGTCTCTGGACTCTAAGTCACCAATACTCTTTTTTGGGGGTATCTTTTAAAAAAATAATATTTTATTTTCCCTCAATTACATGTAAAAATAATTTTAACTTTTTTTTAAAGTTTTGAGTTCCAAATTCTTTCCCTGCTTCCTTTCCCTTTTCCCTCCCAGAGATGGCAAACACACCAATATACTCTTTTCCTTACATCATGAGATACCATCTATAATCCAACTCCGCCTCATTTTACAGATGAAGAAATGAATCTCAGAAAGGGTAAGTGTCGTATAGATAGCA